TGCGCACCAGTCCACAACGGTAACGAGGGCTCTCTCTCCTCTCCCTCTGTGTGTATGTGTGTGTGTGCGTGTGTGTGGCGGCGGGGGGTGGGCAAGAAAGCACTCTGAAGTGCCAAGATCCACCCTTTCTTCCCTTTGTCACTGGGGAGCTGCGCTCTGCCTCCAGCAGTCTGCCCAGGATGCAAATAGAAAAGGGGTTGGTCCGGCTGCCCTGTATGGCCGATACCGGCCCCAAAAATCATAGCAACATTTTTCAGGGGACGCCCTGGACCCAAGGAACAGGTCTAGGGTGCCCCATTTTTTTTTTGAATTTCTGGGTTTTGGCCCCTTTCGGACGGGCCTCCAACGGTCCGGCGTCCAGACACCGGACAGCAGACCGTCTGGACGCCTGTCCAGATGTCCAGATGGTAGCCATGGGAAAAAGTCAACACTTTAATTCTCTTTCTTGTTAGTTCAGTCCAATTAGACATACGGAACTAGAATGTCAAGACCCTGACGAGATAGGTAAGAATTAGACAAATTGCAAATGAGATGCAGGGAGCAGCCATTGCAGGGATGCATTATGATATAAGCGTATAAATGCACAAACTGTCAAGATCATCCCACAAATCCACCTAGGGCCTCACACTCTGTTTTTTTTACTTCCTTGGATTCTGCATTCCTGTTTATTGGCCGGGGAGTAATTAACAATTCAACACACACTTAGCGGAGCAAGTCAGATCAACGCTATCTTGATAATCGAGGTGGACAATGAAGAGTGCGGGCAAGTGGAACTTTGCCACTCCGTTCTCCTCAATTATCCTGGTGTTTCTGACACACACAAACAAAGTTGTGCAGGGTCTGTCAAGGGTACTATTCACTTTCTATACTTTCTGCTCAATATACCTTTGAAATGAGCAAGGTCATTCAGGTTGAACTGTTGAACATTGAGGCCGGCTGAGTGAATGAATGACAGCAATGTTGTTTTGTGTGTCTCCTGTGTTTGTTTGGCTGAGGAATTCACTAGAGCTTTGCCAATATGAACAAGGCCTTTGTTGACGGCAACCTCAAATCCATTGAAGACGGTGGGCGCTATCTTGGGGAGACAATCACAATCTACCAGATGCAGCTGCAAGAGGCTGAAAAGCATGCAGATAAAAACAGGAGTAGCCATTTACTGCAAGTAAGAAAATGAAGGACATTCTTAGGAGAAACAGAAAAGAAGATCGACTGCCATATTCTAATCCTCCTGAGTTCATCTATTACTCAGCGTGCAAGTGTCCCATGAAGAAGCCCATGGCATGCTGTTGTACTGTTGCCCTTCTACTTGAAGGGAGACATGATAGCTTTCTAAGTTCTGGAAGCTTTCATGGTTGCTGTGCTTTGCATGGTAGATCTTCTACTTTTTTATGTGTTCTTTGAAAGTGTTTTAATGAAATTTAATCCCTATGTTTATTATTATCGGGTATGGGGTTCTAGACACAGAAAACTATGAGCAGTGTATCAGTTTTTTTTTTTGTTGAGAGTAGACCCAGCTCCAGCCTACTAGGGGAAGTGATATGAGCAACGTCCTCTAGTAGGTCTACTGCCGGCCGCTCCAATCTATTGGTGGGGAGCCTCACCTGCTGGAAAGCGGGTCCAGTGTCCCATTGATTGATCATTCAGATTGAACTGAGTACCGGGGCCTTTACCTGGCTTTGGCTTGCTGAGATTCTGCTTGACTAGAGTAACAGAATGGCTTCTGCGTTGTATGAGGATGCTAGTGGCACCTCTTCACCCTGCTACTGGGTGCCTGCCTTGGTCTCCCGGCCCATACTTGTCCATCTCCAGCTCCACTCATCCTCTGTAGCATTTCATGCTGGCGCAGGCCACACTGATCTCCCTGGGGGGCACCCAGGGGGGGGCTGGCCCCTTCAGCCAAGAAGAGCAGTATGGAAATTGAAAAATTAGGGAAGTATAGTGGATAAGGCCAGGGCGTTGGATGGGAAGGGATATGGGAAATCAGACGGGGGCCGGAGCGGAAAGCAGGGGTCAATCAGGAGCCAATCATTGGAACAGAGATGGTAATCTCGGATACTAGCTTCCTCCTGTTGCTGAAGTTCCTCATTGTCCCCACTCCATTCTACCCTCGCTATCCGTCCCCCTCGCTCCCCCCCTAGCCAATCCTTACAGAATGCTGTAAGGGCCTGTCTAATATCTTGGGTTGTATGAAACTGATACAGTTTGTCTGTCAGGGCCTTCCAAGTCGTAGTCAGTTCTAAGTGGATCTGCTGTTTGATCTGTTCTGTGACCACAGCCCCTTCCAGTCGGACGTCTTCGAGCGCTAGCACACACCACTGCCACCAAAGGGCCCACATCATCGCTCTCCTCCCAAGACGAAACATGTTTATTTTGTGAAGGAGTCAGCTTGGACCGGGGGGCAGTGTCCTGTCAAGATGACCCTCCAATTCCATGGCCAGTCCATCCCCTGCATTGTTTTCTGCCATATCCTATCTCACCATCTCCATGTAAGCACGGGTTGTGGCACTGCATGAAGATGTGTTCGATCGTCTCTACGCATTTGCGCGGGGTAAAGCTCTGCCGGCACCTCTTACACCATGGCAGGGCTTGACCTTTCTGTTCCAGCTGAGTGTGGTCTATAATCCAGTCCATGGTGGGAAGGCAGCGATGGTCAATCTGCCACTTCAGGGATGAGATATTGGGCGGCTTCAGCCGTATTTCGTGGAACCATCTGATCGGCCTAAGCAGTTGTTGCTCCACGTTGAGGTGTCTGGCCCATCTATCACTTACCATGTCCCGTAGATTCCGCTTTACCATGAGCATCCTGTAGGTGGGCTTAACTGATAGGCTGTGTGAGTGTCTAGTCGTACCTGGGCCTTGGGCTGGTCTGCTTGGGTTATTCCACTTCCACTCCTGGGGGTCAAAAGGCAGGTCTGCTATGGAAGTGCTGTGCTGCTAGGCTAGGAGATCCCGTCCATCTTTTACCACTCTTATCCAGAACAAATCTGTGTTGTTCCTCCTCTTGAAGGGCTCCCGGTTCGCACACAGTCTCCCGGCGGTCCCAATTGAACAGTATTCCTCTAGAGCATTCTGCGGGCTAAGCATGTGTATTCTTGCAACCCTTTCCATGTCCCCGGCTACCCAATCCCCCCCTTCAACGGCTACCCAATCCCCCCCTTCAACGGCTACCCAATCCCCCCCTTCAACGGCCACCCAATCCCCTTCACTCAAGGAGGGACCACGCCGCAGAATATGGTACCAGGACACGGGACAGGCCTCGAGAAGCCTGTCTAACCAGTATTCAACATGGTGGCAGTATCTGAGCTCCTCTTTGAGCTTCTCTGCAGACTTCCAGTCCTTTGCATCCTTGTCCCAGAGGTCCCCTACTCACACAACCCCGCATTTCACCCAGTCATATCCACCCTTTCCATGGAGTTGTCGAGCCACACATGGTCCTACCGTGCGGGTCTGTGATCCACCGGTTACAAAAGAGGGGCTGCCTGAACACTTCTTCCCAATGTTCTGGGGGGTCCCTGTCGGGGAGCGGTAACCTCCTCCAAGTCTTTAGGAGGGATGGCCAGAAGGGGTCCCTTGTGTGGTTTTCTGTATGGTCCGGCATCATCCTCCCCATAAAAGACTTGGGAGGTGCCGAGGGATCTATCCTCCAACCACCTTAGGGGGTGGACTGTCGAAGGTGTCAGTGGGGCTAGCTGCGGGAGGTGCTCAAGGGCTAAGCCCTCCATGGGCACTTACGAGAAAAGATTAGTTTTCTTGTCTATTTCACCCATAGAGCCTGTACTTGTGTCAGAGGGTCTATGATCCCTTGACCTCCCTTATTGCGAGGCTGTATGACTGAGTCCCATGATACCTGACTAATGGCATGTGACCTGTCGCAGTCCCCTCTCAGAAAGGTTGCTGTTTTTGCCTTGAGGGCCCTTACCCCCTCTGTGCCTAACGAGTCTTGACCACAGTAGGGATTTATACTAAAGCGCCACAAAGACCACATTGTTTAATGACCAGGGCTCTGCCAATGAGGGATGTAGTCTTTTGTTTCCAGTTCACTAGTTTGGCCAATCCACCAATCGTTAGCTGGGGGTCTGCCATTTGTAGTTAGCAAAACCCCGAGGACCCTCATTGGGGCATCCAAAGGGCGCCATGAGATCTTGGGAGGTTCGGGTGGCTGCCCTCCTTGGTGGTGAATCCACCATCCGAGGGTCTTATTGCCCCAGTTGACTGTCGTATCCTACACTGCCAAAATTGTTGCGCATCCCACACTGTCCGACACACAGAATATGCTGAACGAGTCTCCCAACCGTGAAGAAAAGGCTTAGTGATTTTGCAATGGTGCTGAGGTACTGATTTCAAACCATTGCAAAATCACTAAGGCTAGCTCTGAGGAAGGAAAAGGATCAGCAAAAATTTCTGGACATCTGAGGGTTGCCCCTGGTTGAAGTGAGAACCAGTTCCCAAAGGTTAGTTGAAAGTCCCTCTTTAAACCACCAGTACTTGGCCCATACATCGGCCGCGGGCGTGTCCCGTTAACACGCCGCATTTGGGGGGGGTCTCACATGAACGGCCGGTCGGTGAGAATTGCGACGTAGAAGAGCAAGAACCAAAAAAAAAAAAACCTACTTTTCTAAGTTGGGCGGGGGTTGTGGTCACGTAGGTTCTTGGTGGAATGCTTCTAACTAGTATTTCAGTTAGATTCTGGATGTCGTTTTTTTCTGCTTTTGTTTTTTTTCCATTTTTCTTATATTCCGCTGCCAGCGAGGCAGGGCATATCCCGTGATCTAGTGAACAGAGCTCTGTGAGGGCAAACTCACACTTGCACACAAACAAATGTATCTAACTCATTTCAGTGCCAAATTCGTGTTTCATTTTTTTTTCCTTCTTTGAGATTGGTTTGTTTGTTTTCTTTCCCCTCTTTTTACTTTTGGATTCTGACAAAAACGCCATGGGGCTGATACACCCAAACTGTGACGTGCTCACACTACACTCGGGAGAATGCATCCAACTGCATTTTTTTTTTAATTTTTTTTTGCTGTTTGTGTTTTCCAACTGCTCCCCCCAGCCTCGGCCGGTCCAGCTACTGGCACTGCCAGGCTTGGCAGGCTCGACATATCGGTCACTGGAGGCTCGGACTTGATAGCTGGACCAAGTACTGGTGGTTTAAGTACTCTTCCTCTCTTACCTCCCCTGGCCATATCACTTCCCCCAGACATCCCGCAGCAGATCCCCCCACCCAGTCTGTATTCAACTTTTTAATTGCTTGTGTAATGTCCTTTTCTTGTTGAAGGCTGCATAACTTGATTTTAATATGCGACCATTGAGCTCTAATTTCCGTTTGAATAAATTGAACCACAAGTTCTGCAATTTCAACCCCCTCTAATTTGACATCTTCCTTTTCATGGACACACCTCTTATACCACAAGGTCCATAGGATTGCTTTGCGGCCAATTTCAAAAAGGTTGTATTGAAAACGGGAAAGTGAGATACCCAAAGGTTCTCATTGACCTAAAAAAAATAAAAGATTTCCCAGTTCCACAGCCAATCCAACCCCGTAAGACTTCTCCAGAGTCCAAACCCAGTCCCATCTCCTCCAGAGAAGTACTGAGGCGGGACATTGCAAATGATTCACGGTTGGTCATGTGTGACTCTTTCTGTCAGCTTGTATCGCTCAACCTCGCTGCTCTCCCTGTCTCCCTCCGAGACTACGTGGACCAGCCCTGAATACATCCGCGTCTGGCCACCTTGGACCTTCACGGCCATGACTGCCATAGCTGCCAACCTCCTTCCCTAACTACGGTGTCTGGCGTCTTCTTCCCAATCAGGTGCTTGCTTCGTCTCCAGCGCCACCTCCCCGACTAAATCCTACCCACAATGTCCTCGAAAGAATTCATTGGCGCTCAAAGAGGAGAGACAGAAATTAATAATAGGAAAAAGAAAAGAAGAAAAAGTGATAAAGTAAACAGCAAACCAGAAAATTAGGGAAATACAATCCTAGGACCCTACGAGGCCCTCACGACCTTGGGACTCTACCTACTTGACCTAGTGGGACTGGGCCCATCTAGGACCTTGGGAATGGGACTCAGGGTAAGTCTGCGGCGTGAAATCCTCTCAGAAAGAATGACAAGTGCGCTGTGCACCCCACAACAAACTTTGAATACCACGTATAGGCTTATAAGTTATAGCTATTACAGCTGACATTTCTCCATAGAAACAAGGAAAACGACCGACTGACTGATCTAAGAGATCAGCCATGCGTAGAAGATGCAAGGAACAAACAGCTCCAGGAGATACATTTTTATCTTGTTCAGGAAGGCCACGGCGCTTCCCTGTCACACAGAGCTGTCTAAACGTTGCCATTGATTTTTTATTTTTTTTTATTTTTTTCCCCTCCTCTCATGATGGACACCCCAAAACTCCACCACGGTGACCACACTACATATCTCAACCAACATCTTGCAAAGACTAACACCATAAAAAGATGGCTTCTTTGTTCGTTCATAATTTGTTTCTCACTTATGAAGTTATGAGGCATTTTGTGCAGACATTTTTGTTTCCGTTAAATATCTCTGGGGTCTATCCATTCTTAGTATACCTTCATTGATTCCTTGTGAGTATGATACGACTCCTTGGTCCTCCTTTGTTTCTTCACCCTCCGTATACCTCCTTGATGCTTCGAAGAGGAATTTGAAAAAAATCTAAAGAGACAGGTCCGTCGGGAATCTATATTCCACTAGGCTACTAGGTGAGCTCGGCCAGGGTCGCCTGGCCCAGGTGGGAAGGGGGGTGTGTTTGGCCAGGCGGGCCTGAAAGTGCCCAAGGAATTCCTTCTTTTTTTAGCCTCTGATTTTGCTATGCGAATGCGCTCGTGAAGAACATGCAGAGTCCGCATTTTTGAATGATTTTTTATCATTTTTCTTGAAAACCTTGAAGTAGCCTAATAGATATTTCAATAATTTCATGCGTTTTGCTGGGTGTAGAATCATGGAAACATGAAAAGCGCCCTTAGCAACCGAAGAGCTTTTCCTCAGACAGGGAGCATTTCTCACATGAAAGATAATGCTGGTCAGAGCTCCTTTCGCTCCTTTTCTCACAGAAAAAGTACTGATTGTGATACGTGCTAAATACAATAAAGTTGAATAAACTATATAGTGTCTCAAATTTCTTTCCTGTGATGGACTGTTCCACTGAAATTGAAATGTTTGATGAATTCCACTGCAACCCCAAATCATCTATAGGTGCGTGCTTTGGAGGAGAAGACCCAGAAAGCTATCGAAGACGCCTTTGCGTCATTTGTTGCAGCAATTCCTCCAAAACGTGAAGATCTGGAACTGCTGGAGGTGAGATGCACACGTTGCGGGCTTAAAAATCACAAAAGGAAAATCTCAGTACACTCATTTTGTATATTCAAAAGACTCAAGCAATTTGTTGATTGATTTGCCACGTTGAACCGAGCTTAGCTTGCTTTGCAAAAGGTTGTCTTCTTTTTCTTTGCCTTTCTGTACTGATCACAAGGTAGCTCACCTCCAATAACATGTGATATAAGATTGTATATTTTGTGAAACATGCATGTGTGGAAACAAGACAATGTTGTGCAGGGTACTAGGAATGTTTGCCAATGAACTATATCATTCCTGGCATGAGGTTATCTGTTTCCGGTTTCAGGTTCAGTCACTCAGTGGCGTCTATAGAACAAACAATGTTGCAACAGGACAGCAAAATGTGATAGATAACCTGTCTGAGTTGCAGACTGATCTTTTTAATATAGGAAGTCTATTGGTGGGGAGCTGCACCTGCTGGAAAACGGGCCTCCAAAATATGCCTGGGTACCTTGTATCATTGATGTTGTTGGAGGCCCGTTTTCCAGCAGGTGCAGCTCCCCACCAATAGACTGGAACCTGGTGCTGACTGCTACGGGTGGATGCTCCTATCACCACCAGTAGCCTACGTGACACTCGCGGCCTAGGCCGCGAGCAAATCGGCTGCGGCCGCGGCCAACGAGGCCTACCTCGCGGCCCGTTTTTTTGGGTATGTGTTTTTGGTCAAAAAATAAGTAAAAATAAGGGGGTTGTAGGGTTTTGCAAAACCCTACAACCCCATAATGTTTTTTTTCGAATTTGACTTTACGATTTTTAAAAAATGAAAAAACGAAACTCTGTGAAAAAGAAAAAAAGAAAAATAAATAAATGAAAAGCAGGATTTTTTTTTTTCCATTTTTTTCATGACTGATATGTTGTGCCTTCACACGATCCTTGCATGCTGTTCTATTCTCCTCTGCAGCTGTGTCTCCTCACTGCACTGCTCTACTTGATTGCTTACCGCCTAGAGCTGGCTAACTCCACTTGATCTCCAGGTGCTTGAGGTGTCGGCGACGCGGCTCCTCCTACGCCGCTTGCGAAAACTACTCCTACGCCGCTTGCGAAAACTACTCCTACGCCGCTTGCAAGACAGCGGCGATGGAGATCCATGCACGGCAGCAGGGGGCTCACTTTGGGCCATGACCCCGTTGCCCCTTGCCCAGCTGCCACGCCGCGTTAGCCTGTAACGCAGCTGCAATCAACCACTCACGCAACCCCTTGAGTTCAATCGTAGTCCGGCGAAGGCTCAGAATTGGAAAGCGCCGAAACAGCCCTCCTGCTCCCTGTTTCTTCTCGGTCAACCTGGCAGTGACAGGGCCGGTTCTGAGAAACTGCTCCTCTGCTGAACCTGTACGCTACGTGGCCTACACCACCTTTTTGTTCTTTTTTTGAATCCAATAAGGCGATGAAGATTCTGTGATTGAACTGACCAGGTGCAGGTAATTGGACATTTCAGTTTGATATTGCCGGAGCTACCAACCACTCCAACTTTGGGGAACCCCAACTGGCAGGCCCAATTAGGTGTGAGAAGGGTGGATTTGAGATGTCCCATCTGATGAACCCGAGCTAGAGTAAAGTCTTGGATGCACTCAGGAGACAGTGTGAGCAATACAAGTCTCAAACCCGAATCCGAACTATACTAAGTCTAGAACCTGTGACATTTGGGTGCAACTCCAGCTTGTACACCCACCGAACTACCAAGGCAGGACTGGCCTACCCCCACGGAAGAAAATACCTGCAAATCCAACATTCATGCAAGTGAATAGACATGGAATGAGCTCGAACTTCAAAGAACAAACATCTTGCATTCATTCACACAGAATTGCGCACCTGCCAATCACACGGAATGAAATTCAAAGCCATTCGGTGAAATCGAGTTACCCAGAAAGCAGTCTTATACAAGTGAATTGTACTCATCTGGCTAGTCGACTATGGCCACCGGGAACAACAGCGAAGGATGGTCTCTCCCACTTCGGCCTTGAGGTCTCTCTCTCCTCACCGAGTGTCTTCTCTCTCTCTCATCAGTCCATAGTATGCCTACAGCTATAGCTCCACACCTGTTGACTACTGACTGCCTAGTCTTTCTCTCTCACTGTCTGCTTCACTCGTCACTTGGTCACGCCTGGATGCAGCAGTGCTTCCACACAAGCACGACCAGAATGAACGAATGATGACAGCAGTTGGTGTGCTTTTATATTTCCACCCCTTGGACATGCAGAGATGGTTGACCAGGTCTTGGGCCTCTCAGATTTTGACATTTCTGGAAAATTTGTTGCCCTACCTGGGACCCTGGGCTGCAGACCAACTCGACCGGACTGCGTCAATCGGCCGGCACCTAATTACCCTGCTAAAACCTATACTACCTTGGACCGACGAGACTGGCTTGAACTGGACCTATTTAGACTACCGAAGCCAATGCTACTGGAATTCTACCTCGGACTGGAGCGACCAACTACCAGTCCCCTTCTTGGACCCTCTGGCCCTACAGTGCCGGCATACTGACATTGCAAGTTCCTTGCAGGCAGCAACATATGAGATGTTCCTGCCTACTTCATTGGAGTTGTTCCCCCCTCACTACCTGGAAAAGGCTTCGTGTTCATTTGAGCGATAAACGGCTATCCACCCCATATACCTCAATTGACCCCTGGAAGGCCGTGAATAATGACAGCAGTTGAGCATTTCTCCTGGAAGGCTGACTCTGCGCTATGCCCAGATATTGGTAGGGAAGCGGTCATTTCGGTTGTGTGAAGTTATGCCCTACTAATTGGGTTCCCGGCGACTTGACAGCATTGTCACAGAACAATACCGGGCTCCAGCAATGTGCGGCTAACACTTGGTACACGTGTTTAGTCACATGGCGAAGTGAGGGGAATGGACTGAACCCAACGACTGGCTTTTCCTGGCTCGGAAGTAGCGGTGGTTTAATTTGAAAAAAAAAAAAAAAAAAAACACTTTAAAACAGAGCATTCTGGTGGAACGGGCGAATCGCAGCAACCAGGGCACTCATAAGCCAGGAAGAGCCACTCAGCATGTCAACTGTGGTATCAAATTATCAATATTGGATAGTTGTTTATGATCAACCCATGCTTCCTGGCTTATGAGTGCCCTGGTTGCTGTCATTCCCAGTGCCACCAGAATGCTCTTTTTTTCTGAGTGAGGACGCCGCCCAGCCGGTTGGGCCCAGGGTGGCCGCCCAGGTAAACAGGGAAGGCCAAAAAAACGCCCAGAATTTATTTTTTATTTTTTTTGAACCCGGGGTCGTTCTGCGCTC